ATCTATCTATCTATCTATCTATCTATCTATCTATCTATCTATCTATCTATCTATCTATCGTATCTATGTACCTACCTACCTACCTACCTACCTACCTGTCGAGTGATGGCCTTCTGGCCTTCAACAGAAAGGGCTTGGCTCTCTGAAGACTCCTTTCCTATTGATTCCGTCCTTTTTGGGGACCCTGGAAGGGAGGCGGAGCACGAGTGGCGTCAACCCAGGGCTTCTTCTCTTCCATGCAGGGTGCGAGCCGACCAGCGCATCACGGAATCCCGCCAAGTGGTGGAGCTTGCGGTTAAAGAACATAAAGCGGAGATCTTGGCTCTCCAACAAGCATTAAAGGAACAAAAGCTCAAAGCTGAGAGTCTCTCCGACAAGGTCGGTCGCTTAAAATGCTATACAGGTGGTCCTCAACTTACAACTGTACGTTTAGTGACCGCTCGACGTTAACAGCGGCACTGGAAAAAAGTGGCTGATGACTCTTTTTCACACTTACGACCGTTGCAGCCTCCCCGCGGTCACAAGATCAAACTTCAGGGGCTTGTCAATTGGCTCATATTTATGATGGTCGCAGCGTCCCGAGGTCGTGTGGCAGCTGCAGTGATTCACATAACAACTTTGCCTGAGGAAGGAGGCAAAATGAATCAAAACTAACTTAACAACTGTCTTGTTTAGCCACAAACATTTGGGACTCAATTGTAGTTGTAAGTCGAGGACTGCTTATATTGGGTGATGTTGTCCCGGAAAGCTCGGGCCCTTTTATTTGGCCTGCAAGCCAGATATAGGTGGGTGGGGGGTGAAAACAGAACTTTGATAAGTGGAAAGGAAAAGAGAAATGTTGTAAGCGGAAAGGAAAAGAGAAATTTGATAAGTGGAAAGGAAAAGCAGAAATTTTGTAAGTGGAAAGGAAAACTCTTATAAGTGGAAAGGAGAAGAGAACTTTTATTGGCAAATAAAAGGGTTACCCAGAAACAAGTTCCACATGGGCCTACCCCAGCTTGGAGTGGACTTTTTTTTTTTTATACAACTTCGAAAAGTATATCTTGTTGTGAGCCGATCATGGAAACTCGCAACACTGTAAATCAATCATTAAGAGCATCATAAATCCATTCATCTTCAGCGGTCATAGTGAACACAGTTCAGCTAGAAGGTAGATTAAGATTTGAACCTTCTTCCTTATCTAAAACTGTCAACTCATAAAATATTTTTATGGTCCTTTTAGAGTTGCCAACAGAAAGGGAGGGGGGAGCAGTGCGGCAGCTTAGAAACCGAAAGTGCATTCCATAAATAGTTTTTCAAAGATAATAACTAGGCGACTGAAGTTTCTGCCGCACAAAATTCTAACTGGAGGGCATGATTGATGATTCTTGGCTATGGATGCGTCCCATTGGAGAATATGAATTATGATACATCCAGGGGGTGGGGTCAAGGGTGACAATGAATGTATCTCAGAGTCGGCTGCACCCAGGCAGTGCTGGCCTGTTTACTCCCAATAAATCCCTTCGAAGTTTTGGAAGTTTGGCTCGAGACTCACGATTTAGTTGGGGGGAACCGCCGGAATCCTGACAAGATAGCTCCAAAGGAATTTGGTACCAGGGGTTTTGTCCACCACTTTAATGGACAGGTATTCCCGAGCGGGAGGCAGATGTTCACTAAATGAATTGTCGTAAGTCGAGGATTGTCTGTGCAGAGGTTTTAAAAGGAAGGCGGGGAGAGAGAGGCAAGTAGACGTGGAAAGACTGGCGTTTTCACGCCTTGCATCCGTTGAACCCAGTTCCATTTCTAACCAGCTGAATGACTTGGAGAAGAAGCATACCATGCTGGAGATGAACGCCCGGAGCCTGCAGCAGAAGCTTGAAACGGAACGTGAACTCAAGCAGAGGCTTCTGGAGGAGGTAGGCCCTGCTCCCTAGCCGAACGTCTGCGAATCCCTTCTGGGAGATTTGAAACTGGCAAACCGGATTTGATTCCTCCTGGGTGTTTATCTTATAGGCTGGGTTTAAATCGCTGGTTTTCCAATTGGCAGCTTTGAGACATGCAAATGTTTTAAAGTGCCTGCGGATTGGGGGGATAAAAGTCTGCACATCTAAAAGTTGCTGAAATATTAGTTTGAATTTTGATATAACCCCAAAATATGGCCCTTCCCTCCTCTTGTAATCGTTCATTTTATTACTTTCAATTTTTCTCCTTTCTATCTTTCTCGCCTTTCTTCCTCCCTCCCTCCCTTATAATCTTTATCGCTTTCAATTCTTCTTCCTTCATTCCTTCCTTCTTCTCTTATAACTGTTCTCTTTATCACTTTCCTTCCTCCCTCCTTCCCTCATAATCTCTCTTTCAATTCTTCTCCTTTCTGTCTTTCTCTCCTCCCTCCTTCCCTCCCTCCCTTATAATCTGTATCTTTATCGCTTTCAAATCTTCTTCCTTCCTTCCTTCTTCTCTATAATTGTTCTCTTTATCACTTTCCTTCCTCCCTCCCTCATAATCTCTCTTTCAATTCTTCTCCTTTCTGTCTTTCTCTTCCTCCCTCCCTCCCTCCCTCCTAATCTCTCTTTCTATTTCTTTCTTTCTTTTTTTTTGTCCCCATTTTTTCTGGTGTGGGAAGCCCCTTCCACCTGCTAGAAGAATTTGAAATACTGTATTTTGGGAAATATTAAAAAAAAGGCTGAATATTATATTTTCCCCAAAGGGAAAAATGGAGAAACATGCTCTTAAAGAAAAGCTTCCTTCCTTCCTTCCTTCCTTCCTTCCTTCCTTCCTTCCTTCCTTCCTTCCTCCCTCCCTCCCTCCCTCCCTCCCTCCCTCCCTCCCTCCCTCCTAATCTCTCTTTCAATTCTCCTCCTTTCAGTCTTTCTCTTATTCCTGCCTCTCTCCCTCCGAATATTTTATAATTGCCCTCCTGGGTTTTGCCTCCCTCCCAGCAAGCCAAGCTGCAGCAGCAGATGGATTTGCAGAAGAACCACATCTTTCGGCTGACTCAAGGCCTGCAAGAGGCTTTGGACCGGGCCGACCTTTTGAAGACCGAAAGGAGCGACCTGGAATACCAGCTGGAAAACATTCAGGTGAGAGAATACAGCATCGCGGGCCGGGAATAATTTTTTATGGATTTCCCTCGGATTTATTTGCCCGCCCGTGGTGATTTCCTGGCTTACCTTCCTCTCCCTTCCCCTTTTCGTGTCGCAAAAGGTCCTGTATTCCCACGAAAAAGTGAAGATGGAAGGCACTATTTCCCAACAAACCAAGCTTATAGATTTCCTCCAAGCGAAGATGGATCAGCCAGCCAAGAAGAAAAAGGTGTGCAAAATATATGAACGCCAAAAATTAACTTAGCAGGCAGGAGGCAGCGGCTAGCTGTCTGAATTTTCTAAGACTGGGGGAAATGAAGAGGGATTCCAGGTAGCCCCAAATCCCACTGGATTTCCCCAACCCCTCAAATAGTTCCTTGAGTTTGTCTTTGGACCCCTGGCCTTGTAGTCATATTCATATACAGGTAGTCCTCGACTTATAATGGTTCACTTAGTGGCCACTCAAAGTTAACCCTGAAAAAAAGTCGACGGGGAAAGCCAGGTTACTAACTATCCCCTGCAGTGATTCGTTTAACAACTGGGGCAAGGAAGTTCGTGAAATGGGACAAAACTCCCTTAACCAATGTCTCACTTAACAACAGAAATTTTGGGCTCAGTTGTGGTTATAAATCCAGGACTACCTGTTCTTCCATTCTGGATAAATGGCCGCCCAGTTTCCTCTTCTTGTTAGCCTGGCTTATGATCTCTGTGAGATGGGCCAAGCTGAGGGGAGGGGGAGAAATTATCTTTAAAATGCTGGACCAGGCAATTGGGGGAGGAGAGGAGGTGGAGGAGGAAAGAAGAGGAGGAGGAGGAGGAAAAGGGGAAAAGAAAGAGGGGAGAAGGAAAGGAGGGAAGGAGAGGAGGAGGAGGGGAGGAAGAAGAGGAAGAGGGGAGGAGAGAAGGAGGAAGGAGAGGATAAGACGGGGAGGGGAGAAGAAGGAAAGAAGAAAGGGGAGGAAGAAGAGGGGAGGAGAGAAGGAGGAAAGAAGAAAGAGGGGAGGGAAGAAGAGGAGGAGGAGAGGAGGAGGAGGGAAAGAGGGTGGGGAGGGGAGGAGGAGGTGGAAGGAAAGAGAGGATAAGGAGGGGAGGGGAGAAGAAAGAAAGAAGAAAGGAGGGGAGGAAGAAGAGGGGAGGAGTGAAGGAGGAAAGAAGAAAGTGGAGGGAAGAAGAGGAGGAGGAGGAGGAAAGGAGGAGGAAGGAAAGAGGGTGAGGAGGGGGGGGGGAGAGGAGAAGGGAAGAAGAAAGGGGAGGGGAGGAGGGGAGGGGAGGATTAAGAGACCCTCAGACCCTCTGGTCTGCCGTTAGCTAGAGCGTTTTCCCTTCCCCCTCACCCGGAGGCAGCCATCACTGACCAGGAGTTAGGAGCTGTCTGTGTGTTTCTGTTGCTAGGGCCTGTTTAGTCGACGGAAAGAGGACCCTTCTTTGCCCACACAGGTTCCTCTGCAGTACAATGAGCTGAAGGTGGCCTTGGAGAAGGAGAAGGCCCGCTCAGCGGAGCTGGAGGAAGCCCTGCAGAAAACCCGCATCGAACTCCGATCCGCCCGGGAGGAAGGTAGGGGGAAAAGAGGCAAGAGCAAGAGGAGGGGGTCTTTGTGCTTTTCCTTCCAAGCCCCAAGGGCCGCCCACCCCACCCCTCCCTCTTGTACTGGACGTCTTTTGTTTCTCTCCCTCCCTCCCCCCCCCCCTCCGTTTCCCTGCCACCCCCTCGTTGGCTGTTGACCATCCCAAACTTTCAATAAGAAAGAAAGCTGTCATTCTTAAGGTTCCATAGAACCACGGCTGCTGCTACTGCTCCTCCTTCTCCTTCTTCTGGTTTCCTCCTGCTCTTCTTGTTCTTCTTCTTGTTGTTGTTTTTCTTCTTCTGCTTCTTCCTTTTCCTCCTCTTCTTCTTCTGCTTCTTCTTGTTCTTGTTCTTCTGCTTCTTCTTCCTCCTCCTCTTCTTCTGCTTCTTCTTTCTCCTCCTTCTGCTTCTTCTTGTTGTTCTTGTTGTTGTTGTTGTTGTTGTTGTTCTTCTTCTTCTTCTTCTTCTTCTTCTTCTTCTTCTTCTTCTTCTT